CTAAGCGCCAGGTCCAACCTTTCCTTAAACACCTCCAGGGACAGTGATGCCAGCACTTCCTTGGGAAACCCATTCCAGTGCCTGACCACTCTTTCTGAGAAGAAATGTCTCCTAATTTCCAACCTAAACCTCCCTTGGTGCAACTTGAAGCCATTCCCTCTAGTCCTATCACTAGTTACCTGTGAGAAGGGGCCGACTCCCCAGCTCCCGATACCTTCCTTTCAGGTAGTTGTAGAGAGCAATAAGGTCTCCCCTGAGCCTCCTCTTCTCCAGTCTAAACAACCCCAGTTCCCTCAGCTACTCTTCATAGGACTTGTGTTCCAGGCCCTTCCCCAGCTTTGTAGTTGTTCTCTGGACATGCTCGAGGGCCTCAGTGTCCTTCTTGTACTGAGGGGCCCAAAACTGATTTATTTCAAATGTTTGCTGCTATTAGCTTAAGGGAGAGGAAATTAGAGGAATCCAGAAGTTTTCATTTCCAAGTGAAACAAGTCGCACAGCACAGCACAAGACCTTTATGAATTGCAATATGGCTTCATATTAAACAAAAGCCATCTGGGTTTCCTTTGGCTTTCTATCAGTCTACATTTTTTTTCTTAGATTATGTAGTAGCAAATGTCAGAACTTTTTCACTGTCTCCCATAATGCAAAATTAGTATGTGATTGTCCATGTATCTGTTGCACTCAACTGTGCCATTGCCACCAGCCCTCAATTGTGTAGAGCTGTTCATCTTCATAGAAATATTGCCAGTGAACTTAAATGTCTCTTCACATGAGTTGTGACCTAGATCCTGCAAAATATTAAAACACTTATGTAGCTTGCTCGAGGGGAGTTTTGAATTAGTTGTTATTTTCAGGAGAAGGACTATAAGCTGTTGCAGTAACAGGTGTGGTTCCTGAGCGTCTCCTTAAATGACATTGTAGTTTCCCAAATTGTTGGCTTCCTGGGCAGCTCTGCTAAATCCAGCTGAGACGATTAAAAGCATGGTCGTCCCCAAATGTTTCTCTGCCTCTCTGCTGGAAGTTACTGCCTGTGTAGTAGGACAGGCAGCTATCCTGCTAGATGCCAGCTGCTCCACTTGTGTAGTTCACATCTTGGGCTATTAGCTTTTATTGCAACCGGAGATATACTGGTCTGTGAACAGCGATGCCTTGAGGTATAGTGTCATATTGGTCTGCTATAACAGCAAGAGATGTCAGCAGAAAGGGAACGACAGTCACTGGGAGGTGAGGATTTATGATTTTTCCCTGGTGTGGCTTGCTCATGCTTAAGAACCTTCAATGACTTTGGGTTCATCAGGACTTTGCCAAAACAGGCACTGTGTGAAGTGACTTTATCAAAGTGTTTTACTGATGTTAATGAAATAAGAGAATAGTAATTAGTGTGAAGTGATGCCTGAAAATGAAACTACCAGATACTGCTACCAGCACTACCAGATACTGCTGGACTTGAATGGTCCGATGGGCCATTGCCAAGGCATATGGATAGACCCTGGTAATCTGTCGGTATATGGGCCACACCTCCACCATGAAATAGCTCCATCAGTGCAAGTAAGGTGGCTGGGACTGTGGGTGCTGTGAGGGCCCAAGTTTGGGATGGAGTGCTGGGGCAGATGGAGGGCCTTGGGGCCCAATCCTTCCTTCCTGGGGGAGGAGAAGGGGTCAGCATTGTCCTCTGAGCTGGTGGCAGGGCAGGAGGCCTGAGGGAGGAAGAAGGATCCTGCTGGAACAACCTTATTTAACCATCAGCTAAGAAAATGTCTGTGACTGCTGATTCCTGAGCACTAATGTTTTCTTATTCTTTGGGGTGAAGATGTGAGCATTTAGAGAGGAAAGAGAGGAAAAAGTACAAAGGGCAGCGGGGATGAGAGATTGACATCCCATGCACAGGCTGCGGTATTCAGTGCAGCCATCCGTCTTGCTGTCCCTCATCTCCCTGAGGACTGATTGAGGCTGGGCTGGGCAGCCAGGGGCTGGCAGGGATGTCTGTGGGGATGACCCAGACGTCTCTGAACCAGACCCTTGGGGGAGCTAGCATGGAGAGCCAAGCTCTGGAAAGAAGAGATTTTGAAGGCTCCTGCTGTTTAATGGACTGCCTACTGGGTATGCTGTGAGTGGGCCTTTGTTTTGGAGGGTTTGCTGCTGGGCAGAGGGAATGGGTATGCCTTTGACAGTTTTGAGAGTTGTTGTGGAAAGAGATGATCCTGCTATTAGATCACTTTGTCAACCTTATCTGGAGTCTGGCAGTGAGAAAACTGGGGGAAGGTGTCTGTTTTGTGCAATGCTCTTTGCGTGCCCTAGCTGGGGAGACTCAAGTGTAGCTGGAAGCACTGGGATCCGATACCAGCTAACAAGGTACAGCAAGAAAAAGGGCATAAGGTTTTAGATACACAGAGTTGGATTTATCTAACAACCCATCTCATCATAAGGCCAACATGTAAACTAGTTCTGGTTAATTACTCTCTGGAGGCACCCAGCTATTTTTCAGGGTGTGAGTCTAAATAACTTCCTCAGATATAAATGTTGGTAATGTGTGTATTCAGAGCTAGGGGAGCTCACCCTGCCCCACCAGCAGCCTGTGGAAGTGACTTGTTGAGTCTATTTGTATCTTGCTGCCATATCAGATATGCTGGTGAAATGTATTACTCTCTTATGAAATTTTATCCTCTGATTCCAGCTCTGTAGCTCATCACACACAGGCACCAAAGTGATACTTCTCAGCAGCTCAAAAAGCTTTCTTTGTGTTTACTATAAACTAAAGCAGTGACTGTACTTGTTAAACTTTTTTTTTTTTTCTTTTTTTTTCTTGATTTAATGTGTGTGTATATATATGTGTGTGTGTGTGTGTGTATAACTTGTTTACATCCTTACAGTCTAGTTTGGCCTTGAAATGAGATTTAGTGAGAGATGAGGCTTCTCCAGATAGCAATCTAAAGTCAGAAAGAAAATAATTTACTGAAATAATACCAAATAATATTAAGAGATGGTGATAAACTAAAGGCTCAGGTAAACTGCAAGAGTTGCATCTGAATGGCAACTTCCCCAAAAGCAATAACAGGTTTGAGAATCAAGAATTTTCTACCCAGATATCCCTTTTGAGTAACCTTGAGGTTGTTGCATTTGATCCAGTCTGCTAGCATATTATGTGAAAAAACAAGGAGATAGACAAGAACACTGAGATGTGTGGCACTTTCTTCATGAGCAAAACAAAAGTGATGTTTTGGTAAAGGTTCAGCTGTGAATCTGACAGAACCAAACTAAATACATGGGGAGCAGTTTCATGCATTTCCAGAAATCAAAGTTCACCTAAAGCAGTTCTTATGTCTCCATTGGCCATCATGGAATCTCTGGAACATAAAAGTGCAGAAGGGAAATCACTGATTTTGTTTGTTTTTATAAACTTTCAGCAGTTTTTTGTTTTTCATAACTGATTTCCTGGGTAATTTGCTGGTCCTTCAGGTTTGTTATTACACAGACTTGTGACATTTCTGGCAGCTTTGTGGTGATGATGTGATGTGACAATGAGCGTATCCATTAGATTAGGCTTCTTTTTTACGTGTAGCTGTGCAAACTTTGAGATGGATCAGAGGTCAGCTCTAAAAACTGCACCTAATCACTTAATTAAGAGTTTTAACTTATCTCTGTCTAATAATATATACTGTCTTTTGGAGTAACTAATATTGCTTTTGGGGTCTTTTTTTCCCCCTAAATTGCTGAGGCCTTCTGAAACCAGGTAGAAGTGTGAATTGAACAGTTACAAGAAGAGAAAACAAATTTTGAAAACTTGTTTTTAAGCTTTTCTATTTTTTTTTTCCAGTTCCTGGGTCTTGAGGCTTTTTGAAAGTATAAAGTGTGATATTTTCCCTCTTTTTTTTTTTTTTTCCCTTTGAAAAACAAAACAAAAATAAAAACATTCCTATTCACAGGACTAGCAGACCCTGGTCTGCTCAGTTGAAACCATGATTACTGAAGGATAAGATGAATATATTTCTTATTGAAGGGCAATTGACGGATTAAAGGCTGATTAACATTGACTATTGTATACTTGTGTGAGGTAGTAATTATTTGATTCCTGGTGGGCAGAAGTCATTGTGAATGCTTGTGTGCTTTTGACAAAAGTGGAGGACTGGCAGAATGATTCTTGGGAAAGTGCAATTTTTTCTGTTAAGATGGAGCAGCCAAATACTTCCTATGCAGTATGTCTCAGCTTTTATATATTAAGAAGTATATAAACATACTGAGAGTAAGGAGGGTTGGGGAATCCTTCCAGAGGCACTCAATAAATCCTACATCAGGTAATAAACTGGTTGATATGAAAGGGCCTGTCTAGTCACGTGAGATACTTATCTCTTATTGAGATTTGATACTTATCACAGACCCATGAGTTTGCAAAATTTAGGTGGGAAGTTTTCCCACCTAAATTTAAGGTGAGCAAAGGCCATGACAAGCCATTTCTGAAAACAGACTGGTATTTCACACTTATCAAACCATTAGAGAAGTCTTTGTTCAGTATTTTAGAATTTTTGAATTTCTTGAGAAGCACAAGACACTAGAGAGGAAAAAAGTAATGCTAACTCAAACAAGCTCCAAATAGCTTTGTGTTGAGAAGATCTGGCTTTTATAAAACCTTTGCTCTGTAACTCAAGGCGCTTCATCTATCACTACAATATGCTATGCTCATACCTACAGTCTGTTCCTATGTACTGTGATAACAGATGTTTCAGGCATTGCAGTAGGCTCCTGCCTACTGTGTGCACTGTGCCTGGCAGTGCAGAAGATGTGGTCCAACTTTGTACGAGAGGAGACTTGTTGGTAGCTCCCTTACCTTGCTTTGGGACCTGTGTTTAACCTGGTCCTTGCCTGAGCTGTATTATGACTATGCCTGTTTCTGGCCTTGCACCTTGTTGACCCTGATCTACAAGGCATTGTGTTTTGACTTGATTAAGATGTCTGTCCTGCTGTGTAACTTATATGTGGCTTAAAATTGTTTTCTTCCATTGCAGGCTGTGATACATCAAATAACTGGTGTTTCCCACCTGTTATGAACATGTACAAGGAAAATCAATTGCAAGTTGGTGCCCTTTCTTTTTGAAGCCATCCACTGAAGACAGGATTAGTCTTTTCTGGTGAATTTTGCAGTCACATTTTATATTCCCTTCTAGATACAATTTTATTTTTTTTTTCCTCCTGATTGTATTGGTTATGATGAACATATGTTGGCTAATAATAATGAACAACCATAATATCAACAATGTTATAGTTTTGAAATTTATTTGCAAATATGTCAAGTAGTCTTTTTATGCATGCTTTGATATTTTCCATTCCTTTCCTCTGATGGTGTCTCCATAATTTCAATTGCTCTGTGGTATACATCACAGTAATTATTATGTAAAGAGACATGAACACTTCTAAAAAGTAAGCTATTCATCATAAATCTGCTCAGTTTGTTAGTTTAAAATAACCACATGAGTATTATGAGTTGGCAGCAACTATTCTACCTCAGAAAGAGGTAGGGTATTGCTTCCATGCTGAGGACACTTTAAATAAGGCCAGTGACAAAACTGTGAGCTGTGGTTACTGTATTTTGCCACAGTTCAGCACAATATCACCCCAAAGTAACATGCCCTGGTGTGGTAAGGATGCAGAAGTGCAGCTGGATCTCCTATGTAAGGAAAGAACCCTCAGGGTATCATTCCTAACTAATCGGCTTAAGAAGACCCAGTTGGAATGAAGAGGCAATAGCTGGAAAGTAAAAATTATTATTACTATTATTTTTTAAAGAAAGTCCTGGCATCAAAGTGACTACATAAATAAATGAAGAAATATTTTGTTCCTCAGATATGAACTTTCTCAGTTGAAGTATGCTGATGAAAAGAGGAAAACAGTTATTTTGCTTTGCACTTTGTTTTTGAATGCATAGTAAAGCCTGCACCATTTTTTTTTTTTTTGGTGGCTTTGGGTAGGAAGTTATTTTTCTGTTTTAACCAAAGTATCAGCATGTCTCATTTTCTGTCAATAATCTACAGTTTTGTCTTAAAGACCTCTTTCCTTCAGTCTCTGTTAAAATCTCTTTAAGAGTTTTACTCTATTTACTGGCACGTGTACTTCTCCTTAAAGGGTGTTCTTTATGTTGTAGGTGGGTCTGTTGGATGCATTTATTCTCACATTTGTAAGTATCTAACTCAACCATTAGAGCTGGAGTTTGGAGTCTGCTTTGGATCTTTCTATACTTGACCTTAGACAATGTGCATCTTCATCTTACTCAAGTGGTAAACACCACTGTGATGTTGCCTTTCTCTTTCCATTTATATAAAGTTAGTCTACAGTGACCATGTACTGTAAATCTGTCAGGTAGAAGAGATGAATCTGAGTATGAACAGTGAGTGTAAGGATAATATATGATGTTGAATTGTACCATATATGAGGGAAGAATTCTACTGGTTTTTCATTCTTTTTTTTTTTTTTTTTTTTTTTTTTTTTTTCTTTAGTTGACCTATGGTATAGTATTTGGTATGGTTGTTAGAATTCTTTACTATTTTTTTTTTTTTTTTTTAACATGCACAACACATTAAAACACTGAAATACAATCTCTGTGGAATCCCCTTGGAATTTTTTTGAAGCTGTGAACATTTAGCTTCCTTTCTAGCTTTCTAGCTACCTTCTTGTTTTTGTCCTATAACAAGATCCTTTAATATAACTCCCAGATCTGTAGTATAGAACCTTACACCTTATAAAAAAGGATTTTGCAATGGAGGTAAGGAAATGATATCAGAAATATCTCTGCAAACAGCTTGCCATAGAATTAAAGAGATAGTGTCGAAGTTGGCATGATGCCAGTACTGGGCAAACACTGCTTTTGGATATTTTTCGAAAGTTGATTTAATTCTTCACATATGTTCTTTCCCCAGCCCCCAAAGAAATAGTTTTGCAATGCTCTTAAAAAAAAAAAAAAAAAAAAAAAAAAAAAAAAAGAAATCAATGCCAGCTGTTGAGTTTCTTAGAAGAAACTTTTAACAACAAAGAACTCAGCGCGCACAATGGAATTAAATACCCTGGGTACAAGAAACTGATTTGTTTTAAAATAAAGATTGTGATCAACAGTAAATACAACAAAATAAAGCTTTTATCATGGAAAAAAAAACTTGAAGGGAATAAAAAAATCCAAGAAGATGAATTTCTTCCAGTGTTAAGTCCTACAGATCAAGACAGAGATGCCATCCTTGCTCAGGTTGGTTGCTACCTGAGGTAGAAATAAGGGAGTATTTAATGTACATTGTAGTCAGTACTTTCAATAAACCCCTTAACTGGCCTGTGGCTGCAGCTAGTGTTTGCACATACCACACCTGGTAATTTGGTACAAACCTCTTGCAAACACTGCCGTATTACAAGAGTTAATTTTGCCCCCAGAGATTTTATTTTTAGTGATCAAAAGCAAACAACCACCTACCTTGCACCAAAACTAAACAAAACCAAAAAAACATAAATAAACACAAACCAACAAAAAAGCAAACCCCCAGATGAGCAACCTTCCTTCCCTTGCTTCAACCTAATATTCAAAGAAAAAAGCCTTCATTACAGCATTCAGCACCTTTTTAAACCTACTTGATTTGACAGCTGACACATAGCTTTTTTTGGTCAAGTGCTGAAAATATTCAAGGATGGGGATTTCACAGCCTCCCTGAGAATCTGTGCAGTATTTAACTGGTATCATTGTAAAACATTTTTTTCCTTATATTTATCTTACTGGAATTTCCCTTGTTGCAGTCCGTGTTTGTTGCCTTTTGGCTGTTGTTGGGCCCCTTTAAAATATCTGACTTCATCTTCTCTCCAACCCTATTTAAGCTGTACAAAGGCTGCAGTTAGATCACCCACCAGCTCCCTTCTCGCCAGGCTTAAGCAGATGCAGGTTCCTCAGCACCTGCTTGTATGTCATATGCTCCAGCCCTCTAACTACCTTAGTAGCAACTTGTCTCTTCCTGAATAATAAATAAATAATAAAAAAAGACCACTTTGCACATTGTTGCTCACAGGCAACATTTTCTAAGGTCATTAGTGTTTGCTCCTCCATAATATGTGAAAAGATGGGCCTCCAGCACAAGAAAGATGTGGACCTGTTAGAGCAAGACCAGAGGAGGGCCACAAAGATGATCAGAGAACTGGAGCACCTCTCCAATGAAGAAAATCTGGGAGAGCTGGGGATGTTCAGCCTGGAGAAGAGAAGGCTTCAGGGAGACCTCACTGTGGCCTTTCAATACTTAAAGGGATCTTACAAAAACAATGGAAAAGTACTCTTTACTCAGGTAGATAGGACCAGTCTTAAACTAAAAGAGAATAGATTTAGATTAGACATTAGGAAGAAATTCTTCACAGTAAAGGTGGTGAGGCACAGGAACAGGTTGCCCAGAGAAGCGGTGGATGCCCCATCCCTGGAGATGTTCAAGCCCAGGCTGAATGGGGCCTTGGCCAACTTGATCTGGTGGGTGGTGCCCCTGCCTATAACTAGATGATCTTTAAGGTCCCTTCCAACTGAAGCCGTTCTGTGATTCTATGATGGGGCTTCAGATAGAAGTAAATGTTTACTTTTTTTCTCATTTTCTTTTTCTGCTAATGGATAGTCAGAGACTGAAGATGGCTGAAGACTCAACCATCTTCTTGCACTGATCTTTTGTCGTGAACTACTGCTGAAGAGAAATGCCCAAAGAAACTTCAAGGTCCATGTCATACAGTCTGCTGACATAATAAAACAGCACCCACCAGTGTCATCTCTCTTACCAAGATTTGCCTCATCTATTTTTAAAGCTTTCCAAGGATGATGGCTCCAGGATCCTCCAGTTCTTTTTTACTGTCAGGAAGAATATTACAGTGTGTATTATGAAACTTTCTAACTAAAATTTTATCCCATTACCTTCTGTTTCCTCCACAATGAGTACAAGGAACAAATTTATCCCTTCTTAACAACAGCCCTTTACACGTGAAGGCTGTTCTCATGATCCTTCTCAGTCTTTTCTGCTATAGGTTAAAGAGGTCAAATACCCTCATTCTTTCCTCCTAGACCTTTTTTTTTTTTTTTCCAGACCTCAATCAATCATTAGTCTCTTCAGTACCCTTTCCAGCAAGTGTAACATTTAAGAAAAGAAAACTCCAGCTGAAGTTTGAACAGTGCTATGTAGGATGGAGAGACGATCTTGCCAGTCTTACAGATTACATTTCTAATTATTTAAATCAACTTTTTTTTCTTTCTTTTTTTTTTTTTTTTCTTTTTTCAGTAGTGTTATATTGTTGACTCCTGGTTAGCTTGTAGATCTACAGTAATTGCCAATTTCTTTTCTTTCAGAGTTGCTGTTTAGCCATCTGCCTTCCAGTACCTGTGTAGTTGATTGTCCTTGTCTGGCTACTGTAAATTGTGCACACCCCTTTTGAATAATATTTCTGTGCAGTCCAGTACTTCAGTGGATCGTGTCTCTGATTTGTTATGATCCCTTTGAATTCTATATCAATCTTTCAATATATTCCCATATCTGTAAATGTGGTAAGCCACAACAATAATGAAAATACCATATTGCATGGGACTCTAGGTATGCCTTATGGGACTTTGTACAATGCATAGCTCCATACTGATAGTAGATTGCATGTAACTACTCTGGTATGGTTTACCAACCCATTTTACACCCTTGGTTTGTACTTTCACGTAGTTCATGTTCCAGTAGTTTAATTGTGAAAATGCCATGTACCACAGACTGAAAATAATGTCTATCAATGTAATGGGAGCTATAGTCCCACACACGGTTAGAGTTGCAATGAAGGAAAAAAGCTCCTCTACTAACTTAGGTTAATCCTAGTAAGAATGGCAAGTAATTTAAAATAGTACATGGCTTCAGGCAGTGACGTACCAAAATGAAATGAAGAAATATTAGAAAGAAGCATGAAACTAAAATAGCCTTAAAATTGTCATTCAGTCTGACTTCATACATTGCTAAATGTGTGGTTATTCATCTCTAACATGGACACATGCTGAAACTACTTGCATCACTTAACCTTTCCTGCCTTGAAGCAAAATAATGATTGAGGACTGGTAGAATCAGGCAGAGTGAGTAGTGTGGGTAAAGAGACTTTTTTTTCCCCAGTAACAGTTCTTCCACTTTGTATATTGTTACAATGCTCAAGTGGAGAAAAATATCATGAAAAACAAACAAACAAACAAACCGTTTGTTTAACAAAACCAGGTGAAGCTACAAATGATGTTATGGAATAGATGCGTGATTTCATGCATGGAGAGGATATAGCATCTGGATGGAAAACAGGCCCATGTTTGTAAATCTTACATTTTTTTCCAAAGTCTTCATTCTGGGGCCAGTTCTCTTTAATGTTTTCATAAATGATCTGGATGCAGGGCTCAAATGCATACTAAGTAAGTTTGCAGATGATACTAAATTGGGAGGAGCTGTTGTCTCCCTCAAGGGCAGAGAGGCCTTGCAGAGGGATCTTGACAGATTAGAGGGATGGGCAATCACCAACTGCATAAAATTTAAGAGGAGCAAGTGCTGGAGTCTGAACCTGGGACGGAGAAACCCTGGCTGTATGTACAGACTGGGGGATGAGAGGTTTAAGAGGTGCTTCGCAGAAAGGGATCTGGGGGTTCTGGTTCATGGCAAGTTGAATAAGAGAGAGAAGCATGCCCTGGCAGCCAAAATGGCCAGCCATACCCTGGGATGCATCAGGTTAACTGCTAGTCGGTCGAGGGACAGGATTGTCCTGCTCTGGTGCTGGTGCGGCCTTACCTTGAGCACTGTGTTTTGGGTGTCACAATATAAAAAGGACATAAAATTATCAGAACGTGTCCAAAAGAGGGCTACAGAGATGGTGAAGGGTCTGGATTTATGAGAAGTGGCTGAAGTCACTTGGATTTTTCAGCCCAGAGCATAGCAGGCTGAGAGGATGCCTCATGGTGGCCTGCAGCTCCCTCACGAGGGGAACGGAGGGGCAGGCACTGAGCTCTGCTCTCTGGGGACAGCGACAGGACCCAAGGGACCAGCATGGAGCTGCAACAGGTGAGGTTCAGGCTAGATGTTAGGAAAAGATTCTTCACCAAGAGGGTGGTTGGGAACAACAAGCTCTCCAGGGCAGTGGTCACGGCACCTGCTGGAGTTCAAGAAGCATTTGGACAACACTCTCAGAAAAATGGTCTGATTTTTGGCCAGTCTGTGTGGATCTGAGAGCTGGACTTGATGATGCCTGTGAGTCCCTTCAAACTTGGGTTATTCTAAAATACTGTGATTCTATGATTCTGCGAGATCTACAATGCAGGGCACCAATGCACTGCTAGATTATACCTGTTCTACAGAGAGAAGAATGTGATGTCATGACTTGTCCTACTGAAACTGGCAGAACTTTTTCAGGGCTGCCAATATCCCCAAGGTTTCCTGGAAAAATCAGATGCTTCCTTCACAA